CGATATGTCTTATTCTCATAATGATATTATAGAATTTATTTGTGTTATCTTCTAATATTTTGAGACAAATTCATATATCGAACTATAATGAAAAATGTTTCTGATAATTAGTGAATATATTAGAAATACGTATCAATTAAAATATGAAAATTAATATAATAATGTTAACTTAACTGTTATAGATTTATTGTTATTATTTGAAAAATTTTCTATCTTAAATAATAAATTTTAACTGAAAATAAATGAATGAATGAATGAATTTATTTAATTGATCAATGAAAAAATAAATCTTCCGATAAACTATTATTTTATGTTCAACAGACATATTGTTATCATAAAGATAATTATAGAATTTATTTTAAAAGAATAAATAAAACATTTGAATAAATCTTCTTATTTATTTAAATATAGTTAAGATTAAAAAGATGAAAATCGATCGAGATCAAATATATTGATTACAATTATTAAATATATTTTCAGTTATACACATTGAATTTTTGATAAAGAACAGTAGAATTTTGTCTACGGATAATTTTATTATTTGAAATAACCATTTAATATATAGTTTTTATTCATTTCTATATAAAATTAATTTAAAATAATCATATATATATGATTAGTGATAAATGAATAAATATTTGTTTATAAATTTGAATAGAATTAGAATTTAAATTTTTGTAAAAGATTTTTATTTTTATTTTTTTTGTTAATATTTAGTGGGAAGATAAAATGAATTTAAATTGTCCTGAATTAGTCAAAGAATTTGAAGAAAATTTAAAAAAGAAAAATAATGAAAAAAAATCAATACGAAAAAGTGAAACGAAGGCAAAAAAAAATTCAACAAATAAAACAAAAAAAGCTAAATTAGATGAAACTGGTCAAGATGATCAATTCGATGAAGAACCATCTATAAATCAAGATAATCATCTTGATTCAAATCAATCTAATAATAATGATGATGATAATGATAATGATAATGATAATGATAATCATCATATAAATGGTACATATCATTCTCCTATATCAAATGATAATCAAACATCAAATAAATCTCGTATTAGATCAACTTGTAAGATATTTAATTATGATTATTAAATAAAATTTAAAATAATTTGTATTTGTTTTTAGCTAAAAGTGAAAGTATAAATGATGATAAAAATGAAGAAAATTCTAAATGTGATGATAAAATAAATGGTGAAGATAATAAAATAAATGATGAAGATGATAAAAATAATAATAGTATTGAATTAATAAATAAATGTTCACCAATAAAAGAAAATAATTTAAATGAACAATCAAATGAACCATCTGTTAATCTTCGTCTTCGTATAACACCAACATCAGCATCATCAATATCATTAACACTTAATGATAGTGATAATAATAATAATACAAATGATAAATCAATTATTGATAATTCAATTATAATTAGTAATGATCAAGATCAAGATCAAGATCATGATCAACCAGAAATAATAAATGATGATGAAGAATTTATTGAAAAAATTGAAGGAGTTAAAAATGATCAAGATGGAATTTCATTTCGAATTAAATTAATTGGACAAAATGATACACAATGGATATCAGCGAAAATTGCTAATAGAAAATATCCCCAAGCTGTTATTGCTTTTTGGGAAAGTCATGTAGAATTTACATAACATTTATTCAATTCACATTATTATTCTCTTGTTTTACTTTTTGTTTTTTTCTTCACGTTTTTCTTTTTCTTTTTTTTTGTATATACCTTGTGTATGTTAATTGATATTCACTGTAGTATGGTAATTAATAGAAATCTACGTTTTCTTGTTTCGTCTTAGGAAACATCTTATTTGTAATAGTTGAACTTATTCAAAACAAATAACTAGATATACATTATATCATCTTTAACATTAGAATGTATTTTAGTTTCAATAGATAAATAAAAAGATTTTCTACATATTATAAAACCAATTTTAATTCACTTTTATTTCGATAGAATACGTATTAATATGAACAAGAGTTATCATTATCTACAGTTATCTACAATTTTTATATAATCTTTCTCAAAATTCCGAGCTCTTATCACAAAATTATTTGATAAATTGAATAAAAAATCTTTTATCAATTCGTTTCTTTTATGAAAACTACCTTTAATTATATCTCTCAAATTAAAATCTGTTTATATTTCTAAAACCTATGCTAAATCTTGCTCAATATAATCGACATTATGTAAACTCAAATAAACAATGAATAGACTATGAAGAATTCGTTATCACAGTTTGTTCCTAATAAGTTATCCAGTTTTTTTTCGTATATAGTTCTTTGAGAGTTTCGTTTTAAGAGAAAAATAATATATTCTATATTTAAGTTAATATATAATTTATTAAAATAACTCAACTAGATTAGTTTACATGAATAATTCAATTATTTATTGTAAACAATTTAAAACGAATGAAATATGTAGTAAATTCAATCGTCTCTTCATTTTTTATTGTCAAATAAAAATAAAATATTTTCTAATTTATAATCATTTCAATATAATTCTTAGATAAATATTAAACTCAAATTAACTTTTTTAAGTTTAAACAAATAATTTTCAAAAAGAAACAAATATAAAAAATTAACGTCGACCCATTCTCCTATTATATTATATTCAATGTTATTGTCAAACAAAACATCTTTCAGAGAAAAAAACCGAAATACTATAGATTTTTCTCTCTTTAATACATAAAACGGGGGAGGAGGGAGCAGATCCTCGGATCCTATGAATCCTAATCGATTGTGATGGAACCTGAGGAAATGTTCAGTTAAGTATGTGAAGCATGTGAAAAATAGGATCGAACAAACTGATCCTAATGAAAAGGAATGTTCATTAGGGTCCAACGAAAGTTAGTGAAAAATAAACGACTAGTTGTAGTTCCGGAATTTGTAGCTAATAAAGGAAAAGCAGATTCAGATCAGTGAGACACTCATATATCTCGGTAGCTTTTGTCACATAATGATAAATTCTGAGCATTTTTTAAACTTATCAGAATCTAAGCTTTGTCTATCAATTTCATATTATTGTAATGCCTAGTAGTTTCTGCTTCATTCTGCTAGTCTCTGATAGACTTCAATGGATTGAGTCGAATTATAGTCAATTAAGTTGATTTATCACAGGTATAGGCACACTTCCATAAATCTATTCTAAAATCTGTTAAAACTCTATGGCTTGCTTTTTCTTTGTTGATCTAAATGTGTCAGGTCTTAAGGCAAAAAGGATACTCTAGTCTCAATCTTGTTTCTTCTTTAGAAAATCTGAAAGAATCTCTCTGAATCTTGAATTTTCAGATTCCGATCATGGTTTATTCAGGGTTTTGTTTCAAATTTTAATAATACATTGCAGGACATTTTATTATGAAAGAGGATTTTTCTCAGCATGTTTTCAAGTTCCTGCTCAGACTTTGACATAAACTACCGAAATAATGACCATTAGATTTTATCAATTTTTTACTAGGATATGTTCTAATTCACTATTCTATGATGATCTCAAGACTTCTAGATAGATCAGGCAAAGGTTCTACAAAGTATAATATAAGAGTAGTGAAGAATGATCAACTGGTGGATTCTACTAAGGTTCAAATGCAATTCTATCTTATTTTCTTATGCATCCCTGTTAGGACTATCTCTTTAGAACATTTTCAGGATTCTTTTGATATCTCTTTAGAGACAAGCATTTTGGATTCTTCCTAATCAAAACTAAGGATTTTCAGAATTTTTCTGAAAAAAAAGTCGAGACTGAACGAATATCTTTACAGTTTTCATTTTCAGTATGCTAAAAAGTTGATCTTAAGAATTCTGACAAGAGTTATGATAGATTTGGTGGCAGATTTTGAAAAGCGTTATGAAATCCGTGACACGACAGTTGCGCGCGTGACACTTGCGCGCCGACACTTGCGCGCACGACATTTCCGCGCACGACACTTGCGCGCACGACACTTGCGCGCAACGTGAATTGTTTTTCCTCCAAAATGTTTGATTATTTAAACTCATTAGTGTGAATAATAGGAATGTTCTGTTTTCACATTATTGGATCAATCTGTATAGAAAATTGATGAGATCATGAGATTAATTAATAACTAGGAACACAATACAATTAGAACAAAAATAAGATGTAGTATATAAAATAGAAGCTTAAATAAATTATACGTTACCATTTACATTTTGTTCATAACTTTTATAAAAATAATGTCTGTCGTTCAATCAATCAAGGGTAAAGATCAACTTCTTCTCGACGGTTCTCGATATCGTCGAGATAGATTAGTTTGGCGTTGTATTAAAAAAAATTGCAAAGCTCGTGCTCGTTATGATGGAAATATTTATCAAAATTATCAAGATCATATATGTTAAGCACCAGATCCAAATGAAATTGAAAAAGCTGTATATGATCATGAAATTAGAAAAAAGGCTGAACAATCTCATGATCCACCAAGATTAATAATACAAGATGCAAGACTCCAATTATCTTCAGATGCTGCTGCTATTATTCCACAATATATAGCATCGCAACGTACAATCCAACGTATTCGAAAGGATAAAGATATTCCAACTGAACCAAAAACATTTGCTGATATTGTTATTCCATCAAAGTTCCAATGTACTTCTGCGAACCAACAATTTTTATTATATGATAATAATGACCACCATAATCGATTATTAATATTTGCCAGTAAAGAACAATTAGATATTCTCAATGGCTGCGAAAGTTGGCATTGTGACGGCACGTTTGCTGTAAGTATTTAAAATAACAAGTCATACTTCCACATTGTATCTCTTTTCTAATTTATAGGTAGCTCCTAAATTATTTGAACAAATGTATTCTATTCATGGATTATTTCGTGGAAAAACATTACCATTAGTTTATGCTCTTTTACCAAACAAAAATCAAGGAACTTATGAAGAATATTTTCGAGTCGTTGCTCAACATGTACAACACAAACCCAAATTTATAACAATAGACTTCGAAAAAGCAGCAGAAAATGCTTTTGCTATTGTATTTCCTCAATGTGAAATATTTGGTTGTTTTTTTCATTTTAAACAATGTATTTGGAGAAATATTTGTGTAAGTTTTATTTATTTCGAGCTATTTGTAATAGTTTTTCTGTTTTACAGGAATTAGGTTTAAAAAAACAATTTCTAGAAAATGATGATAGTCGTCACACAATGAAGAATTTAGCTGCATTAGCTTTTATTCCAGAAAGAAATGTTATTGAAGAGTTCAATCAAATAAAAGAAAACACACCTGAAGTATTAGATGGTAAGCAGAAGAAAATATTTGATTATATACATATATACTTCATCTGATACTTTCAACTTTCTAGAGCTACTCATATATTTTGAAGACAATTTTATCGGTCGAAAAATGTCACGAAATCGAAGAAGCAATCCTCGTTACGTCATACAAATGTGGAATTGTTTCTCAAGAGTTGATCTAGAGTTACCTCGTACAAACAATGCTGTTGAAGGATGGCATAACGCTTTTCATGTAAATATCTTATAACTAGATCTTTTAGGCATTTTATTACTGATTGTTTTGTTTAGAATATAGCCGGGGATCATCCAAGTTTCTTCAAATTTATCAAAAACATCATTAGAGAAGAAAAAAATACAAAAGTTGTTTCAATTCAATTACTCGTCGGCACACAAACACTTACTAAACGAAAAAAATACGAAAAAATTGACGATCGAATAAAAAATATGATAAAAAATTTTCCGCTTGTTTCGCGTGAAAATTATTTCAAAATAGCTAGATCAGTTTTTAATTTTTGAACGTCTGATTTAGTATTTGTTAGTTGTTAGTTGTAAAATGTTATTTATTTATGTTTTTTTTACTTGAATAATTCTTGCTTTTCACATAAATATTACTTCAATAAATATGGTTGAAAAATTTGAAACAATTATTAAGTTAACATGAAGAAAATTTTCATGTTGCGCGTAAGTCTCGTGCGCGAAAATATCGTGCGCGCAAGTGTCGGTGAATCATGAAATCGTTTCAACAAAATTTTTCTTAGTTCCTCTTTGATATTATTTTTGATTATTTTTTAATCTTTGAATCGCAAAAAATTGAACAGTGCATCTGAACTAAAGTTAATCTTATTCAAAATGACAACTATTTATTATTAAATCAAAAAATTATGTTTTTTTAACAAACTTGTGAAAGTTTCAGAAAACATTTGAATTAGTGCATGAATTTGCTCTTTTTTGTTTCCAATCATAAATAATACTAAAAATGATCTAAATGACGCGTTACTTTGACTATTCGATACGGTTAAATAAACAAAGACTTCTTCATCGATTATTTTCTTATATTTATGCAAAAAAGAAAAAATTTATCTATAGTCATATATTGGATATATAAAATATAATAAGAGATTAATAACTTGAGAAGAATGTTTTTTTATATATTAAAATATAATTTATCTACGACTATCGTTTAACTAAATAGTAAATAATCGAACATATATAATAATGATTAATTTTTATTTAATTCGATGTCATCATTCACTGTCAATATCGATTTCTATGTTGATAAACAAACAAAATCCAGTGATTCTAGATTATATTCATATATTATTTGTTGTTTTGAAAGAAAAAAATAAATGTGGAAACCTCGGATTTAAATCCAAGTATTATGTGTACTTCAAAAAGTAAACAGGTGAGTCATCATAGCATATGTAGACATCAAAATTATTCTAGCAAGCCGTTCCGTTTTTCTTAAAACTTGGTTTCTATTGGTTACTGCTCAATCAATAGGATTTCGAGGCAAGTGGAGCTCAGATTCAAGTTCTTCGCCCCGGAAAACCTTTGTTCAAGTTTGATAAATCCTCGAAGTATCGCTTCTCTCATTGAAAGATGGAGCTTTAATTTTCGATGAATGAGAGCGTGGACAAACACAGAAGCAATTTCCGTTCAAGTGTATTTGCAATAGGTGACTTAGCCTTCCTGTTTCTTAATGTTTTATATACCATTTTGTAGTCCGTGAAATTCTCCATCGAATGGTATATAATAGCTGAGGTTTTGTTTGATTATGAGAGAAAAAGTTTTTTACGAAAACTGGGATAGGTCAATGTTCGCATAGAAAGCATAGAAAATAATGACATTTTTTGCAATAACTCAGCAATTTCTTGACGAATCATTCTCATCTTCGAACTCGACCGAGATATCAATGAGACGATTCTGTGTGCAAAATTTCATCACAATCGAACTACCCTTTGAAGAGTTATCGTGTAAACGACCGAACGGACACACTGATCGATCCTATAGTGTACTCACTTTTTGAGTACACAAAAACTAAGAAATCAAAGTTATCTATAATTATATCTACAAATAAAAAGTTTAATGGCTTCTATTATATTATCTTTCTGTATTTTATCTAGATTTTTGATGAGAAATCGAATTAAAATATAATTCATAATTATCTTCTAACGAGATAATTTGAATCCTATAAGAGTTCGGGTACTTGTTTGTTATCGCCCCGCGAAAATTTTTAAATTTTTTAATATTATCTTATCTTTTATCTTTTTATCTAATTATCAACTCTATCATACCCTTTATAATATTGTTGTTCTGTTTTTATATTGTATGATTTTGTTCCGTCTGAGAATCAAAATCTTTTAAAAATTAAAAAGTTTTGACGGGGCGATAACAAAGAAGTACCGATATAACAACGGGTGTAGGAATATAGATTAGATATCGTTGTATCAGATAGAGCAAAGAGAAATCCTAATTTTTAAAAGGATAAAATATGTAACTTGTCGTAAGAATACGAGAGCATGTAAATAATAGAATGTTTATCATTTTATTTATCATAACGTGAGCATTAATTATGGGTGGATGTGGGTGTGCGTGTTGGATGTGTTAGTGTGGGGTGTGGGTGTGGATGTGCGTGTAGGTGTTGGGTGTGGGTGTGCAGATGCGGGTGTGTGTGTGTGTGTGGTTATGGGTATCACTGTTCGTATTTGTTGAATACCCACACCCGCACCCCACCCATACCCTGTGGGTGTGGATATGTGCATAGCTGAACAGAACGTCCACATCCATATCCACACCCTCATTGTGTAATGAAATGGAGTAAAGATGTAAAAGAAGATATTGTCGTCGCTGGAGGTCAAGGTGAAGGGAAGGCTCTGACACAATTGTTGTGTCCTATCGGACTGTTCGCTGACATTTTAGACACCATCTATATGGCAGACTCGGGAATCATCGAGTGATGTGCTGGCCCAAAGAAGCGAAACAAGGCACTGTTATTGTGGGTGATAATGATCGAGAAGAAGGTACAAGTCAGAGGCCGAAACGGGGAGAATTTTTTGTTCCCCGCCCCGCCCAGAAAAAAGCTTTCCCCACCTCGCCCCGCCCCGCCCCGACAAAGGCTTTCCCCGCCCCGCCCCGACAAAGGCTTTCCCCGCCTCGCCCCGCCCCGACTTTAATCTTTTTTTCTTCGCTGTCTTGTTAGGCTTCTATAGGATTCTTGTATCTGTTGATCATGTGATTTATTCGACTACATATTACAAAAAAGGCCACAAGATCACAAGAATATAACAATTAGACACAGGAGCACAAAAAAGATGCAGCTCGAGATTAATCAATCTTTTACTTTGTTATTCTCTATCGAACAAAGAAATAAGATATTATTAACAGTTGTTGGCTCGGGATTA